TCCTGAGCGGACCGCAGCGATACTATTTGCATCGCTCAAGAGCTGCTAATCTCCGAAGTCTGCTGGAGCCGGGGGAAGAGACGGGACATTGTACGGGCCCTCGGAATGGGAAGGCAATTGGTGAATTTTACAGGATTAAATGTGACTGGTGCGAGCCTAGTGAACGGAATGAATGTGACTAACGGGAATGGAACGGGAATGACTGTATGCGCTGACTTTAATAATCCGTAATTGACGGTGACTGTATTGTTTTCCTATTGTTATCTATTTGGTCAAATTATGGGGTGGTGAAAATTGCAGTTTTGTATCATTGTCGTTAATTTTTATTGTCCTTTTTTACATCTGGCAAGCATGTATAGCAAGAGGTTAACTAACCTTCTTTGTTTTTTCTTTGTAGGTGCAGACAGACCTAAATCTTTCCAAATGGCCTACTGCTTTCAAATTCTGCATTTCGTTTTTTGTGAACCTGCGTTACAGACTCAGTGCTGAAGACGAAGCTTTGCGGGACCTATTCCTAAATAATCAAAAAATAATATCAAAATGGCGCACAGAGCGGTTAAACGCTATGATCCATCCCTTTGGAGTTCATTATTTAAAACGGAACCTAGGATATTCTGCGTGCTTCTGATAAAAAAAAAAAAAAACAGAAACACGAAGTAGTCAAAAATAATGTCAAAATGGCGTCCGAAGCGGGTAGACGCTGCAATTCTTCTTCTTGGATTTGACCATAGAGGAAATCTTATGGACAATTCAGGGTCCTTTTGGATAAACGCGTACATCGCAAAATCTCCAAACATACGATTTTCAGTCTTTGCCGTAACAGAATGTGGAATAACAGCCTAAGGAACATCGGTAAAAGGAGCAGATCAAGATGTACGCAGAAAACGGCGGGGCATTAGGTCACCTCTTATCCACTTGCATTGTTTGCCTGGTCTCTGCAATAAAATCAGTATTTACACTTAAAAGCGGAAAGGTGCAGCATTTAGTGTTTAAATATCTTACGGCCTGCGACGTGAGACTCTTGCTCTCCGTGTTCACAGCGGACCTTGATTTAACTGTCCTACAATTAAGGCACGCGGTGAATGCCAAGAGCGGAGCCGCCATCCTCCTGTCAAAACCTTATATAAACCCTCCTGTCAAACCCTTATATAAGCCTCGTGCGTGATTGCACCGGATCGGTTACTGGTTTATGAATTGGTATTTCTTTCAGTAAAATTAGAAATGGCAGCATGACTAGTTGGAAACGTTGCTAGGAATTAATGGAATTAAAAGGATTCTAACTTGTTATTTGTGAAGTCTTTTGGATAATTCAAACGCAATATAATGTTTTAAAACCGTTAATTGCAAAATGGTTCAAACTTTATTTTTGATATTAAGTTATATTTTGTGTGAATATTTTATTTTTACGTTACTTTAGACCTAATTAATTTTTAATAGTATTTTCTTTATCCATAAGTCACAAAAACATTTACCTCAAGAAATAAGCAAATAAAAACGTCACGCGAAGCGCTGTCCACGACTCAGGGTGCTGAACTTTGCAAAATTACGTTGATCTGTTTCAAAGGTTTGCAAGAAACGTACATAGTCAATCGAAAACACACGCACGCGCACCTAGCCGACTGAATGAATAACCTACTATTTGTATCCCCAGCGGGGAAGTGTAGATAGAGAATTAGAAAATGATTCCCGAGTACTGCGAAATAAATCCATCCATCACCGCCGAGGGTGCCTGGTGCCAATCCCAGGACGCACAGAGCGTAATGCGGAGTAGCCTATACCCTCGATGGCAGCACCCAGTCCATCACATACACAAAAAATCATGCCGTGAAACAATTCTGCAAGACTATTTCATTTCTTGTCTTTAAAACATGGGTGGAAGCCGGCACTACACCCACACACTAAAACACGCAAATACGCTTAACACACGTTTTACCTCTCTGAAAATTGCAGACTTGTTATTAATTCACATACATAATTAACGCTGAAAAATTGCTGTGTTTCAAAATTGAAGTTTTGTATGCGTATATCGTAATAATCCCTCATAACAGCAGAATTTAAGTGTAATGGAATTAACTGGTAGTCTAATGTAGTCTAATGTTCATAACACAGTCAGTTTTTGTCACTTGGTTAAGTCTTCCGAATATTGTATTACGAGGTATACCGAGTATAAAGAATGTGGAACTTTATCAATCTTTCTGACACATAAGTGCCACCAAAAACGCATAGAAATTGTGAAAGTGAAAGATAAGAAAAACTCATTTGCATCAGTATAGCGGTTAGTGACTCATCAAACCATATAGCAAAACACAAAACTTCTGAACTGTTTCAGTAGCGACGTGGCGCGTTTTACATGCAATCAATTTAACTACAACAAAAGGACACTTGTTATAACAACGACAATATGCCGGCTGGAGAATCTAAGTTACATGATTATACTTTAATTGTGTCACTTAATTGCAGTCATCAAGACATACAATCACTGCCGAAATGCAACTGTGGTTAAAGGATTAGCTCTGAAACTGCTACGTTTATTTCAGGCCTTCAGTCCCTTATAATTCGTTAATCCCAGCACATGCTTAAAGGAAGCAGCTGCCAAAACTTTGATGTAGTTGAAAATCAGATTAATTACTTTGAATGCAACGGGGGAAATGCGCGATTAAGGTTAATTCGGTACCCAAGATGACAAGTAAATACAGCTAATTAGTAGTCGGCAGACGATTACCAGCAGATAATTTTGCCTTTTCCACAATAATGTACCGTCTTTAATACGTATGCACTATCGTGCTTCAATAAATGTTTTAATAAAAACACATTTAATTGATGCATTAATATACTAATATAAGACCTTCAAGGACAATATTCTAGCAGCACTAATAAAACGAATATAGAAAATATTAAATTACAGCGTACGACAAAATATTAATATTTTTTTACAATACCTATAGATTAATTTAAAAAGACAACGTCGAGTTTTAAAACATTTTTTTGTATTTGTGTGTATACCATTAAGTTCTTTCGTGAAGAGATGTCCAATCCTGCTTTATCCCTACGCACCGTAACTTTCAGGTGATGTTGGATTTCACGCACATGTATCCAAGCGGGCAGAACAGCAGATTATCCGCTGAGGGACCCGTCCTCCGCTAAGCACCCGCCTTATCTCCCTTAGCCTACATTACGACACCTCGGCAACGGACGTGTAGCCTGGAACTCCGAACGTACCCTGGAAGATGAGACTAATGAAACCCTATGCTGTGTATTTTCTTCAGGCAACAATGAACAATGCAAATGTAATTGTTGCAACTGTTTCTCATTGCTCACGTGACAAGCAGTTTCGCTGAATGAGAAATGGAAATAAAGATATTTATATATATATATTAGAAACTTGACTCTGATGACAATAGATGAGGCACATTATACAGTTCGATATGATAAAAATGCATGTTGGAGTCCCAATGATTGTACGAATGTTTCTTTTAATATTGTTAAACATAATTGTACCGCTGTAGAATTACATGTAATTGCTGTCTCAATTAACAAAGGATCGTAACAGGGCAACTTAGTCACACAGAAATTTCTAAAGACGCTTTTGACCCGTTTATAAACCTAGCCTCCACCTATCTTCCACAGCCCTACTGATTAGCCCTACTGTTCAGCCTGGAACCTCAGGATAGTACGGCGAATAAATCAAAAGAACACCCTGGACGGGATGCCAGTCCATCGCAGGGCACACACAATTACACATTACGGGAAATGTGTACACACAATTACACATCACGGGAAATGTGTACACACAATTACACATTACGGGAAATGTGCACACACGATTACACATTAGGGGAGATGTGTACACCTAGTTCACCTGGCGGCATGTCGTTGGATTGCAAAAGGAGAACATGCAAACTCCTCACACACACACACACATAAAAATAAAAAAGTAGCACTAAATATGCTCCAAAATGTTTCCTTTCTTTCTAAATGCTCCGTTAAAATTATGATATAAAAAACTCAATCGAATACACTAATGCTAATAAAAAGATTACTGTTATTTTCGCACGTGTGCAATAAACTCTCACCGGGCATCTATGGTTTCTTCTTTTTTCATTCTCCTTTTCCGGTACAATAATTCACAGGGTAAAAATCGTTGACGTGTTTATACTGCCACCTGCTGTGCTACAAGGGAATAGGTAAAGATAGAGCATTAATCATTTCCTACTTCGAACAAGGCCTGAAGTTTATTTCAAGGAATTAGCCCCATCCATCTTCCAACCACTTACCCTGGACAGGGTTGCGGGGGAGGATTGGAGTCAATCCTAGTCAGCCTAAGGATAAAGGCACAGGTTCCTCCTCAGACAGCACTCATTTTACCTATTAGCATAACTGTCTATGGCGAGAACATGTAAGCTCTATACACAGAACAGGGGTGGGATTTAAACCTTTATCTGGAGTTATGAGGCAACAATACTACCATGCTACCCCAGTAAATAAACTGGCATTTAAAATTCTAAAGTATAAAATCATCTTACCTTTCCTCAAAATCTGCAAATAAATTTGAAGGATTTGTAATTCAAATAGTACGTTTTCTGCTTTTCAGGGACTGAATGAGAAATCAAATGATATAAATGCATGTGTATTTTGGTCAAACGCCAGTCACAGCCACTTGTTATAATACAGAAGCAAATTTACTGGGAGAACATTTCTAAACCATTCATCCGTCCATTCTCGGGATTCTCGGGAATCAGAGGGCACCAGGCAGGATGCGACGTCAGTTCATCGAAGAGCACGCACACGCGCACTCTCACACAATTCATTATATTTTATAAGTGTGTGGTCTACAGCGTTATGTTTGTGTTTCCTTCCTGAGCGCGCGGTGGGTCTCTGCACACTAATCTCAATCCGCTCTGTCCGCGCGCTCGGGAATGAGGCACAAATACACCCAAAAGAAACGCCATAGCCGCCTATATTATCCTGAAACACAGTTTAATTGCATCATATTGCCAAAAGAGGGCGCCATACTCATTCAGATAATAATCATAGTAGTTTTCGTGCTTCTTTATTCTCACACAGCATGACCAAATAATAATTCTACGTTACGAAGAAAACATGAGATTTTATTTAGGATTTCTTTATATCACTAGCAATTATACAGGCCTAATACACATTTTCATGATTTCATGAATAATTTGTTCTGCAAATTGTTGAACTAAGAAATGCAAGGGAAATTGACAAGGAAAATATACATTTAGAGTACATTATAGAAAAATTACGTTTCAATTATATTTCATAAGTGCATCTTTACAAATATTGCAGATTTAATCCAAACATTCATCCTCAAAATCGGGGCAGCGGTTGGAAGATGGATAATTACTCACAGGCACATTAAAACATATTAAAAAAACACACACACAGGTTTGTAATTATATCTTTGTGAGGACTCTCCATTCATTTCTGAGAGAGAGGGGGAGAGAGAGAGAGAGAGAGAGAGAGTTCATCGAGCAATCCTTTGAAGACATAAAATGTGAATGGCAGGTTTTTTCTCTGTAAATCTATCGAAATTATAAGTTCATAACCAATTCGTGACATTAGCTGCGTTTATGCTGTATGCGCGGCTATGTACTTCATAATGTACTCCAGAGAGATCCGACCGCAGGAACGTAGGGGGTGGCCATCGGTAAAATAGGACTAATTAAAAGCGTAACCTGATTGGATGGCGAAATCGCCGTAGAGATCTGGGTACGGAGCGAAAGACGCGCCGGTGCTGGGCGTCCGCGCACGTTTGCAGTCGCACAGACGTCGTTATCATTTGGGGACTCTGATTATGGGTCTACAAAACCTGGTCCTGGTGGATTATGCTTTGGAACACAAGCTTTAGGTGAGAAAGGAGGTCATTCTTTGGCAAAACCCTAAGTGCTATGTGAAAGGAAATGTCTTTGCCAAATGTAATTGTGGATGAAGCTTCCAGAGACTCTCAATCAGAAGTTAAGACTTCAGGACACGGGGACTATGACTCCGCGCAGCTAGGAGCATCACAGGAAAGTGGCGATGGGCCGGTTACTGGCGATCGGCCGACCGGAGAGAGCAGCCGCAGGCTGTGTACGATGGAGAGTAGCGCGGGGGAGCAGAGCCTAGACGATGACAGCGACGGCAGGTATGATATGACGCCCATGATGGATAAAAGGATGTCCGCGTCCAGCATTAAAACCGAGCCGGGTAAAAAAATCAAGGAGCATAAGGTCCTGAGGCTGAATATCAACGCTCGGGAGCGGAGGAGGATGCACGACCTGAACGAGGCACTGGACGAGCTGCGCTCCGTCATCCCCTACGCGCACAGCCCGTCCGTCCGCAAACTCTCTAAAATCGCCACTTTACTGCTGGCCAAAAATTACATATTGATGCAGGCGCAGGCGCTGGAAGAAATGAGACAACTGGTGGCATATTTCAGCCAAGGACAAACTCTTTCCTCGGTGCATCTGTCTGCTGTTGTCACACCGGCTCCAGGTGCCCGTGAAGCTTTTCCCGTGCCCGCCGGCGCCGCCACGTCCTCCTGCCCCGACAAATTTGTTTTGTTCAACAGAGTCCCGTTTAGCTTCTATATGCAGGGCAAGTCTTAAATAATACAGCATCACTTCGTAAAAGCAGCAAATCCTGCTACAACATTAATTTAAAACGGGTTTAGCGGTAAAAGGTGCGGGAAACACCTTTAATCATTAATGTAATATTTTGAAAACTGTTTTGAAGTATAAATGTGAATATTAAAGTCGTATAAATCGCTTTTCAGTCTTCGCGGTTATTTATTTGGTTTACTGGAGAAACGTGATCGATATGGTAAAGAACGTCGTCTATTTAATTTGACGAGAAACGATGTAAATTTTAACTTTATTCGTGTAAACCAGCGTTTCCCAGCCCGCTTCTCGGGGATTCACAGATAGTCCACATTTTTGCTAACGTGACGTTTTGACTACATTGTCTGAACAAAGCTGTGATATGTTCATTATTAGACATTATGTCATAGTGTGGTTGCATTGAGCTGTTTGTACAATGTTGGTGTGTTGAAAAGCCTTAATAAAATATTTTGAATACAATTCATTGTGTTTCTAATCTATCAGCGGTACTATGGGTCCACTGTATACCGTAATAAATATTCAGTGGACATCATTCGCCAAGGTCAGAGCCTACACCATACAACAAAATCAATTAACAGTGAAATTGGTAACATTTGTTTCAAGCGACAATACCAGATATAATAGATATAAATATATTTTCTTATTACTTAAAATTAAAGTAAAACAGGTTAAAGAAAAATTGCAAACCAATTAACCAAATATGATATCTATGTCTGCTGAACCACAGCACTTATAAGTCACCGGATTGTTGGTTTACATGTCTGACAGCTGTTTGTCTTTTTACAAATCTAACTTTCTCTCGGAGTGACTCGTACACCAAGCAAGTCGAGCACAAAGTGTCTCTTTAGACCTGATCTGTTGATCCATCTACAACGCTTTCACAGAACATTATTTTGAATAAAAATAGCTATTTTCTCCAGCTGTGTTTCAATCATTAGAAACAACCTGTGTAACATTTAATTTCTATTTTTCTTCAGTAAACTGCAACATCATTTTCCATTATAAAATACATTTAGATTAACCAGAGGTGGAAACTTCAGGTCCAGAAAGTATAAATCCAGACCGTGATTTAGTTTCAACCAACCAGTTGAGCATAAAGAGTCACAGTCACAGAGTACTCAACTGGTTGGTTGAAACAAAATCCTGGTCTGGAATTGTACTTTCTGGACCTGAAATTTCCACCTCTGATATTAACCCCATATTATGACCCCAGGCATGGTGGTGCAGTGGTTAGCACTATTGCCTCACACCTCTGGGACCCGGGTTCAAGTCTCCGCCTGGGTCACGTGTGTGGAGTTAGCATGTTCTCCCCGTGTCGTCGTGGGGTTTTCTCCGGGTACTCCGGTTTCCTCCCACAGTCCAAAGACATGCTGAGGCTAATTGGCGTTGCTAAATTGCCCTTAGGTGTGCATGTGTGAGTGAATGGTGTGTGAATGTGCCCTGCGATGGGCTGGCCCCCCCATCCTGGGTTGTTCCCTGCCTCGTGCCCGTTGCTTCCGGGATGGACCCCGCTGAAGATTCTGAACAATCTTAATTGTTTCTTAAACAAGACAGACTCCCCTTGATGTTGCCCTATTTGAGCAAAATCTCAATGTCACAGCGACTAACTTGGAACCCACTGCTTTTCAAATTAGGGTCCATGTAAAGTCAGGTAGGGGAGTCTGTGTTATTGTATGCTGTATATCGCGATGAGGAGCCTATTCAAAGCAGAGGCTGATCTCATGATGTTCAATCCCATGCAAAAGTTGGTTGAAGGAATAGGATGTCATGCATATGACTGACAAATACGCATGTTCGACAGACACTTGTGACAGGGTTGGAATTAAGATTGTCCACCAACCACTCCCTGTGTTTAAATATCACAACATCAAAGACTAAACACATTCAAAACGGCATTATCACAAGTACAGCATTTTGAGATTGATTTTAATTATTATTCTTGATACTGTTGTCACAATTTATATTTCATAGACATACATTTTACAAAGGACAAGCCTCTTCACAAATGCGGCAGGTATGTGTTCCGTTTATTTCTGATGAAGAAGAAACAGAGACTAAACACCATTCTTTTTTTTGACAAAATATCGAGCTCTGCGTAAACCAAGACTCAGTGTCAGTTACGGCAAGTAAGCTTACTACCATCAGAGTAAAAATCATTAACATCAAAAGGAGCAGCACTGTTATGCATAAGAAGGTCTGTCCTTGATTTACAGATCCAGATTTTCTGGACCGAGTTAGTGGATCAAATCATCGGCAATGTTTTTATTGTGTTCACCCTTCTTAAAGTTCGACCTCTCTTGCATAGCTTGTTCTTCCTTTCGTGGAATCCGGTCTCTCTCGCGCAGTATATTGCACGAGAGAGAGAGAGACTAGATCCCACGCAGCAATTCAGCCTCCCTCGCGCTGTAACTCATCATTTCTCATGCATGCATTCCCGTCTTCTCAAGCAATTTTCACTTAAGTTTTGTCCAGTTCGATGCCTCAAAGTTGAAAGAAAATTATATACAGTAGCAGAGAAGCACAGCTACTTATATGTTTTACTCGCACACACACGCATTTTCATGCTTTATTCTGCATGGGTAGTCAGCACGGAGCTGGCAGTTAACTGTAAAATCACTTCAGGATTTATAGGGTTAAATATTCACTGGGTGGAATTCTTGCTGGAGAACCAATAGGCTCAATTTAAGCACCTTTCCTGCCTCCTGATTAGCATTTAGTTTAACTAAGGAGCATTTCAGCTTTCACTAATTCAACTAGTAAACATTTTGAGCCTCACTAGTTAACTCGTAAGATCAGGGGGGTGTTATCTAGTTAACTAGTGAGCATTTTGGTCTTCACTATTTCAACTAGTAAACATTTTGAGACTCACTAGTTGACTAGTAAAGCCAAAATACTCCAACTAGTCAACTACTGAGCATTTTGGCTTCTACTGGTTAACTAGTGCAGAAATTTATAGATCACGAGTTCATGAAAAAGCGACTAGTAAGAAATCTTGTTCAACTAGTATGAGAAGATGGCCAAACTAGTCTGACGAAATGTCCAAGTAGTGCTGACAAAGACCAAACTAGTGGGGGAAACTGACGTTTGATATCAAGGATATCAGGGATGTCGAATGAAGACAAACGGCGGGGAAACTGACGTCTGATATGAAGGATATCAGGGATGTCGAATGAAGACTGAAATGGCTTCCCATAGTAAGCAGACCACTTGATTAGTCTATAAGCGAGTTAAACAGTATCTGTATAGGAATTATTCTGTCCCAAGCTTTTTGATCCATATAAGCGGTTGATCACTATAACCGTCATCACTATAAGCGGGTTCCACTGTATGTTTGTATTATGTGACTAACACTTAAAAATAAACGCAGGCTCATTATATTGAGGAGAGTAATATAAGCAAACATTTTAAAAAGCACTAACATTAGGCAACAATGTACAATAGGATGTCACATTACAGTCATGAACACAATAGCCTATGTATGTCCCAACTTCTGTCGCAAGACTAAAATCAAGTTCAATACTGTTTAATATCAGAATTACAATCAGAACATGCATATACAGGCACCACATGTATTGTACATGAATATTACAGTCAAATACAATCGCTGCATGTATGCATAACTGTGTTTATATCTGTGTGTTTTGCCAGCTCCTTTTTGGTTTAGCACATCCCCAACTACGAGCTGATCAACAAGCCACAACTTTACCTCTGTGACTCACACTCCAACTGTCCAATATTTATAATGAAAAGATATATTTCAATGTCAATGTGATATAATCGGCAATGGAGCAACCCTAACATTTAACACATTGGTAAAACTGTTTGTTGCAAATTGTTTAACCAATGAAATCACAAGATTAGGATTTGGCAAATCAGTGATGATTGTTGACTCACCTCAGCACACAAGGAAATATGTCCTCGGCATTTAACCCGTATGTGACCTCGTGACATAGCAGGGGGCAGCTAATTCGGCGCCCGGGGAGCAGTGCTTGGGGGCGGAGCAAGTAATTTTAAGTACCTTCCTTAAAGAAGTCAACAGCAACCTTAAGGTTGGCAGTCCACATCTTTAACTAACACACCACACGCTGGCCATCTTATGCAATCGCAACTTCATATTTAAAGTAATCAGTGCAACTTGAGCCATTCCTCCATGAACAGTGTCTCCCGCTTGTGGCAGAGTTACGAGCCCATAAGCAGCATAATTCCACGCACCTCAGCACGGGTCAAATGAAACAGGTCGCAGCCGGTAGCGGAAGCGGACATCAGTGTCGGGGAGGAGGATACCCAGGCCTGCTCGACTGGGATCCGGGCCGGGCCGGGCCTGGTCCTCCAGCACTTCCAAATCGAAGTACGTCAGCAGCAGGGCCAGAAAGAGCTTCATCTCGTTCATGGCGAGGTACCTGCCGGGACACTTGGAGGAACCAGACCCAAACGGCATGCAGAAGTATTTCAGCTTCTGGCCGCTCTTATAAAACGTCTTCTTCTCCTGTCCATCCTCCACAAAGCGGTCAAACTGGTATGCCTACGATGGGAAAAGCTCAACGTCAGGTCCTCAGTTATGTACGGCCGCATCATCACGCTACATTAACTAAGGGTGTGATCAAGAGGCTAGAATGCAGGACTGCTAGGAAGTGCTACGAAACGGGTCCTCTGACCTCAGGGTCCTCAAAGATCTCAGGGTCCATGTGTATGCTCTGGGGATAGAGGGCGATGATGTCACCGCGGCGCACTGGTACAGAGTAACCCTGGGCCAGCTGTAGGACGAAGTCATCCTGTGCCACTCGGATGTTCATGGAAGCGGCGGACAGTCTCAGGCTCTCTCGGATGGCACTGCCTGGGGGGGGAGGAGGAGGGCAGAGCCACTTTAAGCGCTTTCCCCATCAAAGTTCTGAAATCTGGATCCTGGCCCATCTTGAATAAGAACTTTCGTAGCCCCTGGCCACTTTGGTGTGGCGCTTTCCCACCGCCCAACAGGAACTGGGACCTTCATGCTCAATAAACATGGGAGACGCAAAAAGCTCTTCATACAAAACTACCGCCACCCCAAAACGATACTGGGCGAACAAGCCATTATTTAGTCATCGCATTTTATTTATACTGTCCATGAAATGATTATGATTCATTTTTAAATCTGGCCAGCGGATCAATCTTTTGTTTTCTACAGAATAAAAAATCATGTGATATTATCCTGCTAATAAGCACTGGAGAGTTTCACTGCCAGTACCTGTGATATTAGACAGAAGTATCTCAGTTATCCAGTTATCCTGCTAATAAGCACTGGAGAGTTTCACTGCCAGTACCTGTGATATTAGACAGAAGTATCTCAGTTATCATGCTAATAAGCACTGGAGAGTTTCACTGCCAGTACCTGTGATATTAGACAGAAGTAGGTCAGTTATCCAGTTGAGTTTACCAATGCAAAAAAATGGAGATGCAAGCAAAAAGGGGTCATTAACGTATTAAATGTGAATTGGATGCAAAAAGAGCTCCATATACTCAGTGTTTTGCTCCGCTACTTCTTTCTTTTCCCTGCACATCCACATAACTTCCAATTCCAATTGTAGTCAACTAATAAGCACAGTTTATCACTATAAGCTCTCCCCAGTAGTTCTTGGTGGAGCAGAAAGTACCACTTCTGAGCAGGGACTAAAAAAAATTATTCTGGAACTACCTCCTAAGAACTACAACCAAGTTCCTGCAGTGGAAAAGAGCCTTTTGAGTTGTAGGCAGGATTAGAGCATAGTGGAGGAGAATCAAGAGGCCTTTGGTCTTCAGAGTAAAAATGTTTAAACTAAACCAGATGAAACAGAGGAAACATGAGATCTAACGCAACTGGGTTCTCTTATAATAGCTACAAAAATCATTTACTTCTTCCAGTCTGAGAAACTGTTACCCAACAAGTGTTTTTGGAATCATTCACCCCTCCTCCCCCACCGGTATCTCCAGACATTGCTAGTCTGAGTGCCGTCTCATCAGCAGACGCCAAGGCCCCCACGATGCCTCTCTTCTGCCCGAATATAAATACACAAAAATCCCAAAACACGGTTATAAATAGGTGGTACTGTTGCCTCACACCTCCAGGACTTCAGCTTCTAATCCTACCCATGCTGCTCTTGTTTTATTCTAATTCTCCCCCAAGCCAAAGACATGCAGTGAGCTCTAGAGACATCTCTGAACGGCCCGCTGGATACGCGGGCTGAAGAGACATCTCTGAACGGCCCACTGGATACGCGAGCTGAAGAGACATCTCTGAACGGCCCACTTGATACGCGGGCTGAAGGGACATCTCTGAACGGCCCACTGGATACGCGGGCTGAAGAGACATCTCTGAACGGCCCACTGGATACGCGGGCTGAAGAGACATCTATGAACGGCCCACTGGATACGCGGGCTGAAGAGACATCTCTGAACAGCCCACTGGATACGCCAGCTGAAGAGACATCTCTAATTATAACCACACACACACACACACACACACACACACACACACACACACACAGACACACACACACCTGAAAACTGGAGTTAGGCACTCCAGTTATGACATAGTGAAATTAACCATTGGCAGTTACCTAAAAAACTCAGCATTGCGCATTACTTAAAAACATTACATTGCTATTTGAAAATACTAGCCTACTATTTAATAATAGCTGCAGATCACTGCCCAGTGACTTGGCTTTGAAAGACAGACACCAGGGGGCTACGATTGAGCCTTTCGCCTGGCTGCCCCCCTCACCCCCCACCACCGCTGGCATCGGTCATGGGGCCACAAAGAGCATCAAAGAGTAAGGCTAAGAACATCAGCTCATGTCTTCCCAGGCCGTCACCTATGTGCCGTCAACAAGTAGCGTTTTCCAGTCCGGTCCTCAGTAGGCCGCAGACAGCCCACGTTCTGCCGGGAGATGGGAGGGACCGATGTGGACCGAGTTTGGGTCCTTCAGGGCCGTGTTGGGAGAAGGCTCTAAAGGTTTCAAAAGAAGTTTGGAGAGTGGATGAAGTTCCCAAAGGATACCAGATAACCAACCACCCCCCCCCCCAACATACTGAATAGCAAAGCTGGGAGGATAATACTTTTTTGATTTAGATGTTTCGCCCATGAAAGTTCTAAAGAAAGCAGATGGCAGTAACAGTCCCACAGCGGACTTCAGTCACGTGACAGCAGCCGCATAGGTCACAGCTGGGGAGACTCAGAGCTCCGCTCCCTCGCGCCAAAGATTCCCGTAAATAAGTCAACTCGAGTTCCCCCTTTTCCCACAGTCATCTCCAAACACCAAAGATAATCCGCCAATATAAAATTAACTGCCTCTCTTTTTGCGACTACAGGCTGACTGGAATCTGTCCAAAATACTTCAGATAAGGACTTCCAGATTGCGGGTTTCAAATTTCATTGTAGTTCTGTAGTGAAAACCTAAATCAGTCAAATCCCTTATTGTCTTACAATGAACAGATACGTGAAAGTGATATAGAAAACAGGCCAATTTTCTCATGTTTCTCTGCTGAAACTCATACTCTAAGGAGAGCGTGACCAGCTCTGCAACATTATATACTGGCAACATGACCATGGCAACAACTCTGTGCTCTCATGTTATTCAAAGAGCCAGGAAACTTCCAAGTGCAGAGAGCCATGTGTAACTGGGCTTACACACATATACAGGATAACATTCATTTTAGTTGCAGCTGGCCAGATGGAGAGACACTCACCCATGTATAGCAGACCATCCATCTTCTCCTGGCTGAACGCCAACGCCTGATCTGGTTCTGCTCCCTGCTGGAACGGCCCCAGGACGCGGCGGACCTCGGCTCGGACGGCGGTCAGGGCCTCGGGGTGGGTGACCAGGTGGTATAATGCCCAGAACGCGGCTGGGATGGTGTTCCCCACAGATGCCCAAAGGATGGCAAAGTGATGGCCTGACAGGATATTAGGGCTGCATAATACTGCGATTTGTGTCCTTATGTTCATGAGGTTCTATTGGCCGAGGACGCTACATGCTACTGTTCCGGTACATCACGGACGCAACATTGTGGATAAACAACGAGAAAATATGTTGCCGGTGTGGCGGTACTTTTCGAGAGTCTGACACTTACTAAACATAAGCATACGCCGATTTTATACAGATAACTAACCTCCGGGCGTCACAATAAATATCTCGAAATTTCAGATGCACTATTAATCAGCTTACCAAACTGTGGGCTAAGTGAACACCCATATAACAGGCCAAAAAAGCCAGTGTCCAGACAAATGTTTACGTCCGGAATCTGCAATCTCGCCGCTTTTGTCTGCACTGATCTGTCTGTCCACACCACCAACTTATTTGGCACAACATTAGCATACTATAAAAGATGCTCGAAATACCTTTTACCATTAATAGTTTAGGTAAATTTAATGTTTTCTGTTTTATTTGTATTTGCGCAATATCAAGGGCAAATATTTCAAATTAATACAATGTGATATTGGGCAGCCCTAAAGGACATGATCGCCCTCATTACGGTGACTGGGTTTCAGGTAAACAGCCATGTCCCATAATTCCTTGCATGCCTTTGTCTTACCAGCTTTGTCGGCATCCTCCAGTGCATGGTACTGCTCAAATAACTCGGCCCGGTGCTGGATGAAGCGGGACGGACCCACCCACGAGGCCAGGTTATGGGGCATCAGGAAGGCTTTCAGCTCCTTGCGTGCGGATTTAGTGGATCCCAGGAACGAGATCGGGATCCCGGCAACCAGCATGGGCAGCGCGGCGTCGAAGCTCTCAAACTGCTCCCTCAGGGTCCTAATGCCCCCGTGCCGCATGCCCTCGGGGGGCTTTCCATAGAGGGTCATGAAGGTGACCTCGAACATGACTCTACAGCAGAAGCGGTGTAGCTCGTCGGTCCTCCACTCGCTGGCCAGGCCCAGGTAGTCCTGCCGGAGAACCAGCAGGAGGTTCCTCACCATGGTCTCGCTCAGTAGGCTGAGGTTCTCGCCTTTCAGGAAATTGTAGGACTTCTGGATGTGGTTGCTCAGCTCTGGGAAGCGGGGGGTCCTGACACGTGGGAAGTCGAAGATCACTGGAGGCACCGTGTCAGAGAACTCGTGGAAGGTGAGGTGCTTGCCGTGCTTGATGATGGAGGGATACAGCACGGGGTCCATAACAAACGTCATGTATTTGCCTGAAATACACAGAAGAAAGCACATTGGACCATAATCATCAGTATTCTCAAATCGCCCAATCATGTATAACACCTCCCCCCCGCGACCCTGTGACTTCACAGTTCAGCAAGGTCACCTTACATCCCCACCTATTGCCATTACGGTTTACGTGAACAATACGGATTCTCCCTCCAGACAATCTGCCTTTCAATCACAGTAAATCACACTCGGAATCTGCCAGTCGCACCGGTGTCGTAAATGGAAATCGCGCCACTCTTGAGAGGGTTAATGAGCCAAGGTGCCGCAGAGAGTCATTAAAGGAGATTAATGTAATGCAGAAGCAGAACCCGGAAGAGGTCACAGGAAGCGGCTTGTGTCTGTCTTCTGTGAGGGGACTGTATAGGCAAGAGGGATAGAAGGAGGACAGAACACTTTTACTTATTTATTTAGCAAATGCTTTTACCCAAAGCAACATTTTCTTTTTGAGAAAACAGGATCAGCCAGTCCTGGTGCAGTTGGAGGTTAGGGGCCTTAGTCACGGACCCAAGAGGAAAATCACTCCACCGACCCAGTGATCGACACATTACAAGCACATCATGCTAACCTGCTGAACCATGCAAACTAACACACAGTTGGAGAATGTGGGTATCGACCCTGCTACCTATCGCAGGCTAAGTGTCACCAGAGCTGCACAGTAGTGTTTCCCAATCCGGTCCTCGGGGCTCCAAGACAGACCACGTTTGAGCTCAGAGGAAGCAAAAACAGAGTGTGGTTGGGTCCCTGAGGACCGGATTGGCAAACACTGCTGTAGAGCATCGCAATACCGTACTTCTCGAAGCTTCCTCTGGCACTGAAGGTGAAACATGTCCAGATGGAATACTGATGGATATCAAATATTAATCCCACTGGAGAATGGGGGAGTGTGGAAACCAAATCAGCTGGTCATGTGATGAACAGTGATGATTATCATTAGTGCCAAGCGGCACCGAGGTCCCCAGAGCCCCTGAAAATGATCAAAGGAGTGACATATTGTCACAGGCTCCACCCACCACTCAAGCTGTTCGTCACGGTAGAGATTTACTGCAGACATTATGGCTACACGATTCTGGGTAAAATATGAACTGCGATTTTTTTTTTTTCTTTTCCACTCAATCAAGACTGCAATTTTCTTTCATGATTCTTGAGCAATATATTTTTCTTATTGTTTATTATTATTATTATTATTATTAAGGGTGCAACAACTAATCGATAACATTGATTATAGGTAATAAAAATGGCTGACTGTGAATTTTTGTTATTGATTGGGTGCATCTTTTTAGCGGTCCGTGTGCAGTGCAGCACGTGCACTATTGTATATACTACATTTCCATGGACACGGACCGATGTGTACAACAGTAATGTTCCACCAGACCTGTAGAGGGCAGATGTTTTGCAACAAACACCAATACAAGCAGTGTAGTGAAATGGGCAAATTCTTATTAACAGTTTTTAATCTGCTATGAGACTTGATGGGATTATGGTGATATAGTACAATACCAACAGTTACATTTTATTAAATAAAGCATTTACACAGTTTTTAAACCCAGCGTTTTGGCCCAAATTATTGATTAGTTAATTGCCTGCTCACATAATTCATTGATTATCATTATGCCATTTACATTATGCACTGTCTTTATGAAGATGGAGCATACAATATGATGTATAATATATTGGTGTCAGCAGATATTTGTTAAAAATAAATAAATAAAATCAAGATATTGGCATCAATCCAATGTGTCAGTTTTGGCCAATGTTGCAGGCCGATATTTAAATGCAATCAATATTCAAAGTTAGTAGCATCAAAGCTAACGACACAACAGCTGAAATAATGGAGATGACTGCATTAGACAGTCAGCGATTTTCAAAAATGGAGCATGAGGGATTTCGCTCATTCACCACTTAGGCCTATTAGATGTCTTAAAAGAACCAACCCGCAACATGTCGAACTCATTAAATCTGGTCCACAGATTGAGATTTTGTTTCCCACAGAATAAAAAAATTACGTAACGTCATTCCATTAAAAATTCCTGGCAAAGCCGCCCTTTCTTCCAGTCCCTCCTTCCGCTCACATTGTGTAACACAGTCCTGCCATTTATTGATACAGTTTACGGAGAAAAATTAGCCTTTGGTTTGAATCAACGGATCTCCCCGCTAATGCAAGCATGGCAGAATCGGTGCCATGCAAGAATGAAGCACTGCAAGGGTATGAATCGAGATCACGATTCAGAAGTGACCAATCACGCAGACCTACACACTGCACTGCAGGAACTGCATGCACTGCAGGAACTGCAGAAAACACCAACCCACCAGCAATAAGGACAGTGAACACGTCCCCGTGTCTGTCCCTGTGCGCAGTCAGGAACCGGTGGGCATCTCGACCAAACTGCAGAGCCTTCCCCACATAGGGAATCCATCCTTTAATTAGCGGGGGCTCGCCTTCCTTCCTGTAAACAAAACAAAACAAAACAAAACAAACCATCGTCAAACATTGAACTGAACAGAACAGAACTTATTGACCCCCATGGCAAAATCTCTCTTCACTTATCCCATCTTGCCATCCATGAGAGGCACTTGCAGGTGTCAGCAGGTTTGGGGGATCGGCCAGTACACACATCCCTGGAGATGAGGGTTTGGGGCCCCTGCACATCCCTGGAGATGAGGGTTTGGGGCCCCTGCACATCCCCGGAGATGAGGGTTTGGGGCCCCTGCACATCCCCGAAGATGAGGGTTTGGGGCCCCTGCACATCCNAGATGAGGGTTTGGGGCCCCTGCACATCCCCGAAGATGAGGGTTTGGGGCCCCTGCACATCCCTGGAGATGAGGGTTTGGGGCCCCTGCTCAGGGGCCGAACGGTAGCATCTGTCAGCTGGTCCCTGAATTCCAGCCAGCGACCTTCCAATCACAGGCACAGAGCCCTAATCCGCCTCCAATCACAGGCACAGAGCCCTAATCCGCCTCCAATCACAGGCACAGAGCCCTAATCCGCCTCCAATCACAGGCACAGAGCCCTAATCCGCCGAGTCAGACACACTGCCCCCGGGACACACCAAATACAGCAATAATTAAAGATCCAGAATAAATCTCTATTTCCAACATCCAGTTCAGTTTGCTCTTACTTTCTGATTTAGTTGTAACCGTACTGCATCCAGCTTTCACGAAAGCCAGCAGAGACAGTGGATACAGCTAGTCGACCCCCCCCCCCCCCCCATCTCTCAATCCCCCAGTTCTCAGAAGAAATGTCAAGCCCTTAGATAACAATAGTGAAAAAAAAGGTGTGTGTGTTTGTGCCCGGCTGCTGCAGAAGAGTCAGGGCTGAAGTATCTCTCATTAAATAGTTACTACAGGGTCACATTCCCCCAAGGAAGTAACAATAAATCTCTCTCCAACATAACAGCCCACCCCCCGCAAAACTGGAAGCGCTACATCGGAACAGAGGGGGGGGGGGGGGGGGGGGGTGGGGGAGATTGTAGTTTCCATTCCTGCACATCCACAGCTCCCAAGTGATGTGGGAGAAGATGATCATGAAATAAACCACCACATCAGCGCAAAGGTGGTACGTGACGGCTGCCCACACAGAGGGAAGGGAAATTGTGAATAAGAGCTCTTTGTCTCTGTCTCTCGTAGACGTAACTCAGCTGAGTTTCACGTCAATGTGACATTTTGACCTTCCTCTCATGTCATCCAATCCCTATTTAAGATCTTAAAGTGCTCTTTTTTCCCCTCTCTCTTTGCACTGATCTTTATTTGTCTGAAATAATCAACTACTGAGATAACAGTAGGATCCAAAAGAAGGGATTGGCTTATAAATGAGCCAGAACAATATCAGCAATTTGTCTACGGGACCTAATTCAAGTATTTTCTCTGTTCTCAAACCCTGGGAAGCCTGTGAGTGCAGCAAAAAGGACTCCAGTCAGAAGAACTTCTCCTGTATCCTCAGATCATGTCGTAATCGTTTACTCCTTATTTCTCCTAAGTTGTGGGTTAGCTGAAGCAGGTTTGAATTCAGCAGAGGTGGATAGCTCAGGCCCAGGAAGTAAAAATACAGACCAAGATTTTGTTTCCACCAGTTGAACCAGTTGAATACAAAGTGTCAGTCACAGAATACCCAACTGGTTGGCTGAAACAAACTCTTGTTCTGGATTTTAACTGTCTGGGCCTGAACTGTCCACTTCTAGAATCCAGTCTTTAAATAGGACGATGGTTTATTTCTGATAAGACAGACTATTGCGAGCAGCAAAATTTCCCTCTGGGCACGTCTGGAGGGCTAATGGTTCAATCCCATGACTGTCAGAGTAATCATATTGCAGTCGGACCATTGAGCGAGGCCCTTAACCCCAAATGCTCCATGGACACTGGCTGACCCCGCGCTCGGACCCTCACTTGTCTGTCGCTATAAAAACATCTGCTAAACAAATGAATGTAGAAAGGTGTGGAGGAAATCTTAGCACACCCAGGTCAGGTCAGAAACAAATTCTACAAGAAAGGTAGCAGTTTATATTCTAGCGCTGTTGCTGTACTCAGCTGTGCTAACTTGTTGCCAAGATTAACATTCTCTGCTATTATGAATAGCCCCTATAGGCAGGCACATCTGAAAGGCTCCTCTGAGGCTATATAAATACAAACAGGATGAACTAGCACACAGGCTAAGGCCTGATATTAGCTGTTCTGCAAACATTGACCGAAGGGCGCCAAGATGGCTACCCAGTTATTCAAAATATCAGCTGGCTTTCCTTTACTAAAAGCAGTTCACCGCTTCACCCCCATTTCACTTCATCTTATCTCAGGGACCCAGAAGAATAGAAGGATTTCCTATTAACACCAAACTTCTCACAGGAAGGGAAATCAAACACAGATTGCACGGATGGGCCAATTCCATATTTTCTGGGACTGATAACATGTGACCCTAAGGGGGTGTGGCCTGCTGTCCTACTGATGCCACTTCAGTTATAGAGGAGTCCATGGCTACTGAACTGTGGGGAGTACAGATTGCGCAAAGGACCCCAAGTCATGAGCGCAAATCGCATTTCACTGCACTGTCAAGTACTCGCTTGTTTTGCCAAAAATCTCTTCTTAAAGCAGAGGTATTTACAGGGGGAGGCCAACCAGTCAGTGCCGTCACAGGAAACCGGTGAGAAGGCGCCGAGAAAACCTGCACACTATGCCCCTTCTAGGACCTGAAACTGATTTTCACACTACTGCCAGGACCTGTCATTCACAAAGCTTGTCAGTTTTATCCCCTTAAAGGCAGGGCCACTGCACCTCAACATAACAGCCACTCGCACTGCATTTCTGACGGCTGCACAGGTGAAGCGGCATCGATCAGGACTGCAACAGAGCCAAAGGTTGCGGAGACTTTGGTCAGCCAGAGCCAGAGCTGAGATTAGGGTACATCCCCTTTAATGCGTACTGGCAGCTCTTAAAGGTGATGTCAGGCCTTTCTGTGGCAAATCCCCTTTAACATGTACTGGCAAAACCTTCAAATGCCAGCTACTAGATTACAGATACAGTATCTGGCAAAATGTTCTCTGCACTATTCCAGCAGAGGGAGCGGAAAATGCTACTCCAACATTTAAGCTAATAGTGACATAATGGGCCACACTGGGCACTAAAGCAAAGCACAGATGCCCTAAAGTCTAAAAGGTACATGCCCCGGCTTCCCTCCATTAAGATTTAAGAGTCGGCTTGTTAAATAGAGAGTTACTTGAGGGTACGTTCCCCTGGGGGGGCGCTAATGGACATCTCTCTCTGACACATCAGCTCCATCGAATTTTACAGGAAGCAAAAACTTATACTTGAAAATTATACTAGATGGACGAGTCTGGAAATTACACTCCCTCCTCCCCCTGGCCGTCTGAGCAGTGTGGAGGAAGTTGACGGTGAGGTGGCAGATTTCCCACGAGGCTCGGCGGCTCACAAAATGTGACAGAAGTCTCGGGGCGTCTGTTATCAGGTCTCAGCACATGTCACATGAAAGACTGACTGACGACTCAGCTGTGCTGACTTAGACTGTAACACGTGGCAACAACTAACAATTCCCTAAAACACAGGTATGTACGCGAAAGGCTACCCTGAGGCTATACAAACTTAAACAGGATGAACCAGCACACAGGCCCAGGCCTGATAGCTGCTCCTCTGCAAACAACACTGAAGAGATTACCAAAGGGCACCAGAATATTTAGAATTCCATTGGGTGATTATGTTCATGCTTATCTATATTAAGAGACTCCAGTTCACTCCCTATTCTAATTAAAGTTGTGCTGAGTCTTGGTGCAGCTTTGAATGAAAGAGCCCAGTGTTGCAGCAGCTCACTTAACACAGAGTATAGCAGGAAATCCAGTGACAATTGAGTACTTAGATGTTGGGCTGTGAGAACTGAGAATGTCTGCAAATGGTTTTTTATACCATGCAGAAACCATGTAAACATACCACAATCAAACCCAACTCCGGCACATCAGCCTCACTGTACCTCCCTGCTCTTGCAGGCACATCAGCCTCACTGTACCTCCCTGCTCTTGCAGGCACATCAGCCTCACTGTACCTCCCTGCTCTTGCAGGCACATCAGCCTCACTGTACAGGAGCTTCAGCCGACAGCAGAATGCTGTCATTCCCTGTCAAATCATCACAGTTTCAGACCCCGTCATCACGGATTTTAACGACAGTGGAGTGATTCCCTCAGTGTGCACTTACACTGGACCGATTTGCACACCTCACTCGCCTCTGATGAATGCAGGGCATTTATTAGCCATATTTACTAGCCATGTGGGCCTTTTCAGTAGTATGGCCAGTACAGGTGTCTGCGATGACATTAATGAAGCTTTCCTTAAGTTTCAGTGTAGCAGATTTGTAACTTTAATTAATGTTATTACTTACACCTGTGCTTGTTATATTATTTCATGTGAGCTTGGCTGCCATTAAAAAGGCCCATTAGTGATATAAAACCATGTGACGCTACATTTAAGTCAAGATATCTCAGCAACACCTTAAAAACCAGAGACCAAATTTTCTGGAGATGTTCATGACATTATGATCTAGCTTTATTTAAAAAATTATCAATTTTGAAATATAGGTTTTTTGTCATTGAATTTTAAATATTTTAATCAGTTATTACATAGTAATTATTCATATGGGGATGGCATTATTTATTCAGTCTATATATTTATTATACAGCTGGACAATAGCTTTAAAACAATATGAAGACCATTTCTGTGCACCTTATATTAAGGTAAATATAGCCAAAGTCATAGTCCCCCCGCAAAAAAAAAAGTTAAAACTTTGTTCGCTTAAATCCCCTTGAATATTTATTCAAGACACGCCCAATTTCAGTTTCATGAGTTACTCATGTGACCAAATCAGCGTGCCAAGTTTCGTTAAAATCCGTGACGATGAGGTCGAAAGTGTGATGATTTGACATGGCTCCAGTATGGAATCAGATTTGTACCAATATTATTAAGCAAAACCTTCTTGACATCAAGCAAAAACAAGGCTTAGAGAATAAAAAGACGTGACTGAAGCAAAAGAAATGTCATCTCAAAAGTAAAATGTATAACTTGCAAACACATGATTGGTATTTTGATAATGTTTTCCTTTGTTTACGCTGCCAGCTTCTTCGCTTGGGCTCCCTGACTTATTGTTTATTATTCTGACACAAACTTCTCGCGTGGGCGGGTTTTTTCAGGGACGCGTCCCCATTGGGTAATAAGTTTTTGACTGACAGGCCAGTGCCACGGACATTTTTAATTAACAGCGGGACTGGACATTCACTACCCACTAACTAATTTTTACTGGATCCGACAAGATTAACAGAGTGTAAGTGTTGGTGTTTGTGCTGCACTATACATTTTATTGTGCTAAATTAGAAGTAAAGTTAAGCGTTGCTATATAATTTAGCTCTTGTTGGATTTTTGGGTAAAATCATACCTTAAGTTACGCTGTCAGGAAAAATAGTACCAATTTGCACCTTTCAGGGTATGATTACTCGTCACTGGGGCTGAACCCTCAAGGGTCTGCCAGTTGTACCATAGCTATCGGTAAATGTACCTTTCAGTTTAATGTAAGGTACGAAAATGGACTCTGAGGAACGTTTTTGCACCATTTTGTACATTGATGTTTGTACCTGAAGAACAAAACTGTACCAGGGCTGTAGGCCTCCCCTTTATTATGTGTAACTAAAGTTTTTGTCAGTGTTTATTTAAAACATCTGTGATGATGAGCCTTGTGTTTATCCCTTGGGCGCCAAACACGTCATCTGCAGGTATTCGGTACATACGTGACTCAGTGACTATGTCTACGCCACCCACTCGCTTAGCTCGCCACGGGAAAAGCAGTCACTAACCCATCGTTAACACGAGCACAGCACCCGACCTCATTAAGTTTTATGAAGGAAGCGAGACGTTGGCTACTTAAGTGCAGAAACTAGAAAAAGCTTTATACCAGCGATGCGATTCAGTGACCATAATCTATGCTAGGATGGAAAAAAAATCCTAAAAGTATGACTCGGGAAGAATGATTCCCACCCTATCAGATGGGAGCTGAATCCATATGCCACGACTCATTGGTCAATTTGCAAAAGACAGAGCTACCAACCACAACACAAAACCTGTTAAGATCCATGTCCCAGCCAGTAAGTTATAAGTTCAAACCCCGAAGGCTGGTCAGGGATTCGATGCACATTCTTTGTAAGAATGTAACAGCGGATCCAATTAAAGTATTGAAACCTCACGTACGCCTACCATTACCGCATACAGTGCTCTCTGCAGAACATTTCCATGCGTCACAGAGACCAGACTACTTAGATTTTGTATGATCTCAGTTATGTTTCAATTTCAGTCGTTTTATGTTTTCGTTCTAATTTCAATCACACCTACGTTTTTCCTCTCCCTCCAAACACCTGTGCTTTTCTAAAAAAACGATACTAAAAGATTTCAAAGTGCTGCATTATGCATTGTGAAGAGATATACAGAGATATGCGTTTGAAATAAAACTGAATTGTATTCAACATCCCAATAATTAAGTTAGAAATAGTTCGTGTCGTCGCCTCATGCCCTGGAGATTCGCCTTATTCAGCTCTTCCCGCAAACGAGCTTGAATGACTTCGTACAATTTCTAAAGCATGAGGCACGAAAGACCATCTGTTACAATTATGGATTCGGGCTGGCGCATTAAAATTAGCTCACGACCTAAGATCACAAACTTCACATTTCCACTATATAGGCTACTGAAACAAGATGTCAAATAGCAAAAGTCTGAGCGCGATTTCAAAATCTTAAAATACTTTGTTTTGTTGGAGTTTGTATTTATCCGGCGAAACATGACAATCTCCCTGCTACCTGTAAATGTATGGTTTTTGCAAAAATAAAAAAAAAAAGCATTACCCCGGAATTAACAATTCAAAGGGAAATGTACAGACTAAATTCTTATCTTAGTAACGAGGCACATTGTCTTTAACATACAAATTATCGGCATGATGGCGTGAGACAGCAGCACTGAACGATTGATTTGCAGCACTGTTAATTAACAGGACCAGATTTACCAAACACACGTGTTTCCACCGAACCATTCTCAAGATTTACTCGGACTGAGAGGTACGGAGAGAACTTACCTTCTCCTCCCGTAGAAATAGGTGAGCGAAGTGAAGACGGCGACGCAGAAGCCGAGGAGCCACGTGAAAATAGCCAACATGACGGGATCGCCGTCCTTTCTCCTTCTGGATCAGGGTCCGTATAGTAGTTTATAAACTGGCAGGAAAAGTCTGGCCGCTGCGCGCATCACGTGACTATCGTACACGCTGCCAGATTTTTTTTATTCTTTATTTGCTTGTGAACTCAAGCTTCAGCTTGTACCGGAAGATTGAAATCCCATAATGACACGACTGAAAGCAATTTTTAACTGAAAGGGTAAAAAAACAAATGTCAAGTCAACGAAGCCGTACGAACTAATCAAGTGACTGTCTTTGTTTTATAAACCGTGTGTAATATTATACCGATGGTTTGAGAGCGAGTAATCAGCGTAGCGGTAATATCGGGGATGCCCCCCTCACAAATGGCATTTCATCTGCTCCACGGTTTATGCTTAACTCACAATGTCCGGGTGTTCGTATATGGTGACTAAACTTGTACCCAGGAACCGCAGCAGGCAGAGTCTTGGGAGACATGCCATAGGCAGGCCAATCCAGCTGGATGGGATCCCCAAGCACGAAGGACAGAGCCGATCGACACAATGCTCCACTGTGTGTCCCAAAAAGACCCCCTTCAAGCCTGGACTGAAGGCCATTGCTAGCGTGGTGGTGGGGGGGGGGGGATGACATTGACTGCGAGGCTGGCCAAACCTCACTTCCCAGTGAAAACAGAGTAGAACAAGCCGTCTTTATGGCTGTGCATGTTGTACGTGTTGTAGATTAGGTATGTCTGCATAGGCAGTATAGGAATGTCCTAGGCATGGTTCGCGTTACAGGGGAGCTCGGCTCTCCTGAAACGTTTAATTATCTACTTTTGTGTTATAGGTTATATTTTATTTTCCATACATTAAGGTTACCGAGATGTAAAAAAAATTATTGTATGAATAGCATACGTCAATGTTCTGTGCTTATTTGCTCATTATGTTCCATTTTCCGATCATCTGCCTCCACTAATTAAAACAATTCTTATTGGGTGATTCTTATATGTATGCGCGTGCATGTATGTTAGGAAGTCGTGGTGCACCCCGGAAAAGAGGGCTTCCCCGAAAGACACTGTACAACTCAAACCTTGGCCCTAGGCAAGCTTCACCACGCCCCCTCAGAAGATGCCACCCTAGGAAATATCCCATAATGCTGTGTAGGTGTATGAGGCTCTCTGCGTAATCTGAGCAAAATTAACGTCTATTTCTAAGAGTAAAACGGAAGTTGCGCGGTTTCCTGAATCACACTAGAGGAAATCATTGATTACAGGTGACGTGTATATTTCCTCTAAAAATTCAGGTCATGGGCAGTGGCTGTGAATTAAGGGTGGTCTTTATGTTTACATAATGATTGTTCTGCACATCCTGAGGAAATTAACTTAGCCCACCAGATAGCATCCATACATCCAACTATTTTCTATTCCTGATTGTTCTATGCTGCGTTGCGGGGGTCCGGAAGTAACATGCAAAATCCTCGCGCATAGAGTGGGGGGGTAAGAACATAATCACTGGCCCCTGAGATGTGAGGTAAGATATCCATACCAATTCAGAGGTGGAAAGTTCCGGTCCAGAAAGTACAAATCCAGCCCAAGATTGTGTTTCAACCAACCAGCTGAGTATTATGACTGTGACCAATAGTTGAGTTGTAAAAACAAATCAGGGGGGATGGTGAATTTTATCGTTTATCAGACATTTTGTGCTGATGACAGTGCACATGGTGGGAGACCAACTGTGTACCCTTTTTATTGTTATTTAAGCAAAAACATAATTAATATATTCTACTATCCTAAAACAACATGCATGGTGTGGATGTTACGTGTCAGATACTCCTGTCATTGATCCTGACCAAGGCACCTCAGAATTGGAGTCAGTCCCCCGCCTGGCATAGCTGTCACATGCTCCATAGTTAGGGTCAAATGCAGAGGACACATTTTCCCACTTGGTTCAAGTGCAGCTTCATACTCATGGTACTTTGAAATCTTTTGGTAATTCATCTATTAAAATTCAAAACAAAACCTCAGAAAACATTGTAAATGAACATCTGAATCCTCTCAAGTCAGGTCAAGTCCATTTTAATTCAAATGCAAAAACAAAAGAATGCAACCATTGAAACAATTTACAAAATCTGAAAATGAATCTTACAAATTACACAAATATATAGCACAAACTTTTTTGGATAAAAGTGACTTACATAAAACCTCATAGAAGTTTCCAAAGACTTTCATAATCATGTTTTTTGTTGTCAATTTTCCGGGCTCTTGCTTTTTTCTTCTTCTTTGGAGTCACCGAGTTAGAGACCATATCTTCCTTCACTTTATACAGCAACCGTGTCTGACGTACGACGGCCAGGTACTCGGCCGTTCGGGTGTTTTCGGCACCAGAAGGAAGCCTACGAATGCAAAAGTGATGAATGTAAGTGACAAACAAAAGAATGAACGTAAAAGTGATAAGACAAGCGCAGACGGAACATGAAAAATAAATCCGAAATCGCGGGGGATGCTTTTGGAGGTTTAATAGCCAACGATCAGTTTTAAAAACGTTTTAAAATAATTTTAAAAACCGATTCGTTCAGACTTACGAATCGGTTCAACCCGTTCACTAAAAAAAACCGAGTTAAAAAGAACGATTCGTTCACGAATTCGCCATCACCAATGCATTAATTGATAAAATAGCACAAGGGATGGAACGGGGGATGTTCGTTTTAGAAGAGGGATGATTTTGACTTTATTTCAGGGGGGATGACATCCCTCCTCATCCCCCCTCAACTCGAGTACTGACTGTGACTCTTTATGTTTACCTGGTTAACTGGAACCAAACCTTGGATTTGTACTTTCTGGACCTGAACTTTCCACCTCCGCATGCTGTTGTGTGTCTCGCCCCAGTGTTTATGCTCTGTGACGGACTGGTATCCCACCAAGAGTTTCCTCCCTCCCTCTGGATGTCCAGCCACTGGAATAAACGACACAGAAGAGAAAAAAATTTCTTGGTTTAGCATACCGGACTTTACTGTAATGCACTCGACCATTTACACAATGATATGTTAATTACTTATTTAATGGAATAAAGCTCATCTTTAATCTGGTATTTATTGCCAGTGCAATGCATACCACTTATATGTGGCTATAACACTTTCTAAAAAATGTTCTTGAAGTTCAGTAATTTGGGTTTAATTTTAAACCCCAATCCTGTGGTTAGCACAGCTGCGTCACACTTGTGGGATCAGGGCTCAAGTGTCTATCACGGCTCCTATGTATGTGGAGTTTACATGTTCTACCTGTGCTTTTGTGAGGTCCCCCTCACAGCTAAACCCCCCCCTAAAATAGGCCTAATGACAACCCTGGTTGCAGGGGGTCCAGAGCCAATCCTAGAGGCACAAGGCAGGGAACATCCCAGGGTGGGGTGCCAACTCAGCACAGGCACCCCACTCCAGTAACCGTGCGGAGGAAACCCCACGATGACACGGGGAGAACGTGCAAACTCCACACACATGGGGTGATGGCAGAGACTCGAACCCGGGGCCTAGAGGTATGAGGCAACAGTGCTAACCCCTGAGTCACTGTACCACCCCCAAAAAATCTTTCAATAAAATTTAATTATGAAAGAAAAGAAAATGATAAAACAAAGGTATGTGTTAGTCAGTGAGCTGGGGAGCTGGTGTTAGGGAGTGTTAATATTATTATTAAATATTAAAAGAATTTTCATTTTTAAATCAACTTCAAAGAATGTTGCAACATCTATTGCAGAATTCCTGCTTAAAACGTTTGATATCGTCCTTCACATTTCATTGGCTGGACACTCTTCAGTGGTAAGATAAGGATCAGGCCGTTCTTGACTAGTTTAGGTATGTTGCGTGCATAAGCTTTTTCAAACCTTTCTTTTCTGCTCAGACTATTTGTAGAGTAGATAAGTGGAAAAATTGCAGAAAAATTATGAACAGACTGTCAGACATGGCTACTTTAGCTTGGGGACCCAAAGATAGTCCAGGTCCCTTCCAGCTAACTGGGAGGGAGCAAAAACGTGGACTGTCTGGGGTCTGCTAGGACTGGACTAAGAAACACCGCATCAAGGTATCATCGTTTAGCTCCTGATTTTTTCCTACCTCCTTCATACTGCCGGGCTCCTTTGATTGGTCCATTGAACGGTTTCCATCCTGTTAACAAATGTCACTATGTTAGTAATAGAAAACAGAGTCAATTTAAGCTTTTTTAATAGCCATTTTGGGGTTCTGATTATCAATAATCGTCTCCCTTTGGCGGAACATCTGAAAAATTTGTACTTTTGTCTTTCCATAAACATTAGGTTGTTTTCACTTTCTGCAGTAATGCATTTGTTATTAACTGTTATTAATTCTTCTTCATGTATTGATAGGCCTATATGAACTACATTTCTGATTTTTAGAATCCTATCACATGATAATGTTACATAATAGTGATGTTTACTGAAATGAATTAATCATACATAGAAATAGTGTCGCCTCAGAGCATCTGCAAAATCCATGCAGAAGAAATGTTGCCCAGTATTGTTTGGGTCTCTTGGTTTGTAGAGATAAAAGAAATCTTTCAGCAGATCTGGGACAGATTCCCGTATCTACGTGTGAATTCACAGGTAAACACCTCACAAGAGAAGATCAAAGCAAAGGTAGAGGGTGTTATCATCTCTGACTCACAAAATCGTTCATACTTGTCCCCTTACTCCTCTCGGGTAAAAAAGAGGGTTTCCATCAGAGGAAGAAGCTGGTCACCCCACTGAAAGAGCTGAAGGACCTGGCTGAAGTTTGCTCTGTTTTCAAATTACACAGGAAAGAACCATCGATTTGAAATGAACCCTAAATAGGCCCTAAATAGTTAACAGTATCTGTGGTGCAAAAGGGACGCAGTTTTGTCAATGAAATTCAATGAATATTTCTGAGTTTGTTATTATAACTTGGGTGATTCTATGAAAAGGGTGTCCGTTCACTTTTGAAAATCTTAATTTTGGATTTATTTCTTTTTGATAATTTTTTTTTTTAGAAAGAACACTTAGCAATATTTTAAGAACATAAGAACTATACAAACGAGAGGAGGCAATTCGGCCCATCGAGCTCACTTGGGGAGAACTTCACTAATAGCTCAGAGTTGTTAAAATCTTATCTAGCTCTGAT